CTCCTAGCTGAGGATTTAGCTCATTGGTGCCACCGCCTGCCTTGCAAGCGCAAGGTCCAGAGTTCAATCCCTGGTACCAAAAAAAAAAAAAAAAAAGCCTCCTATGCTTTGGTCTGGTGTTACGTGGACTGCTCCTAGGGTGGAGCCCAAACTCAGGTAGGTGGAGGGTTGAAATTAAGAAGTGGTTGCCCTAGGGTCCCCAAACACAATTCACGAGAGTGAATTCCTCAGCCTCCAATATTCTGTCTGTACTAATAGGGCCAACACCAGAAGTACGGTTTCCTAAATTTTTTTCTTTATACCACATTGGACAACTATTCCTGTGATTTTTGTTATAAAACCAAGTCTAACCTTTTTCTTTTTCAAAATTTCTGTGTGTCCACTAGGTACAGTCCTATACACCTATTAATGTGGCATAAAAGCCCTCTATGGCCTAGCACAAGGACTTCCCCCACTAGCTATCTCCAACAGCAGGGGAGTCCTTGTGATTCTTAAGCGTGCTGTACTGTTGTGTAACATCCTATCCTACGTGACCTGATCAGGCTGTGACGGTAAAGGGTACAGCCCTGAAAACAGAGATCTGACTATCTCATTCACGACCCAGGAAAGATTTGAGTGGAGCCACTCACATAAGGACAAAATAGCTTCTGGAACTGGAGGCCTTACACAGGGACCTCTAGTCCTCCAAATTAGACAAGTGAACCTAGATTTGCAATTCCAGGTCACTTCTTAGGTCAAATTGTTGAGCCCTACCCCTAATTTAGAAGTTCAGTAAAAATACCTCCAAATGGGCCGGGGATTTAGCTCAGTGGTTTCTCCACCTGCTGCGCAAGCACAAGGACCCAAGTTCAATCCTCGGTACCAAAAAAAAAAAAAAAAAAAACCAAACAAACAAATAAACAGCAATCCTTTAAAAAAAACACCTCCAAATATTGCAGTAAAATCTTGATTTCACACAGGCAAGGCCATCCAAACCATATAGTAACCATCTAGTCAGCCTACTATAATGGTGTCAGCAGTAATTACACAATAAGAGATCCCAAAAGAGAGTGAAATATGTTAGGCAAAAGGAACAAGGGCCACTAAAGCCTTGCAACTTCTCCTAGGAATGATTATTTCTGCTGCTAAACAGTAGAGGATATGGGTTAGTAAATCAGCCTCCTCATACCACTTTAAATGCCCTGCACAGACCCATGAACTTTGCATATTTTGTTCTTCACGCTTAAAATTGAGTTGTTTTCCTCAAACTTTTGTCCTTTTGACCAATTTTTACTAATCATTCATATTTCTGGTTTAGAAATCATTTTCTTTAGATGACCTTTCCTGTCACTTAAACCAATTCTGTTTTCTACATCTTCCACATCTTGTGTGTATGTGTTGTTTTGTTTTGTCCTGGTGCGGGGGATGGAACCCTGGGCCTGGAGACAGGCAAGCATCCTCTACGAAGGAGCAACACCTCAGACCTAAAACCCGTGCTTCTTTACAACAGGACAGTGCCTGTAGCTACGTCTAGCAATCCATGAAACAGTACACACTTAATACATTTTAGCGAGATGAGTAAAAAATTATTTGCTTTTTCTTTCAACGCTATTTTAGTAGGTAACTCATAAACACTGCAAAAAATTTCAAACATACAAAAAATTCAGTAAGTAGACTTCTCCCCCCCCCAATCCCATTGATTATACACATATGGGTACTTAAATTTATTAAGTTTATTAAGTTTATTTATAAATAAGTTTTAAAAAAGATTTGGCTGGGGATGTACCTCAGTGGTAGGTAGTTGCCCAGCATACATAAGGCCCTCAGTTCGATGCCCAGCACCACACAAAAATTATATAAAATACCACTATGTGCATATTATTTATGGCTTACATATAATTATTCAAACATATATAACATGTAAATATATAACGCAAATATATACTCATACAGAGTTGCCTTTGTTTTCCTAGCTAAGAGCAGCGTAGTCTTCCACTGACCAGTATCCTGTACGCTGATTCACTTCAGTCCCCGATTTACTTCCAGTTTACATAAATACTTCCACCCCCACCGTCAAGGCCTGGTCCTGAGCAGAAACACCAACGCCCTCCACCCGTGGTGCTCTCACATTTCCAAACCTTTCCATCACCCCAGGGCTGGGCCACCTCTACCTTCCCACCACGTGCCGTGCCCTCAGCGCAAGGGGGGAGGCAGCGGCGCCGGCTCGCGGGCTGCGCCGCACCGCATCGAACCTCCCCCCCCCCCCATCTGCTCTGGGCCGCCGGGGTCACCAATTTAAGAGTACCGGAACCATTCGTGCCTGGCCTGATCAATTCGGGCCGGACCCGGTGCCGAAGACGCGGGGCGGGGCTCGGGCGGCGCGGGGCGGGGCCGGCGTACGGGTCTCCTCCCCTTTCTTCCGGTGGCGCTGTAGACTGCAGCACTTCCGGGTCGGCGCGGAGGCGGCGTGGAGACGCCTTAGCGGCTGTTATTGTTCTGCAGGGCTCACCTGGGCGCTGTCTCTGTCTGCTTCGTGGGTGTCAGTTTGTCCGGCTTCCCCTCGGGCCCTCATTCCCAGCGGCTGACGGCCAGGGCGGCGGGCGGGCGGGGCCTGGCGCTTCGAGGCTGAGCGGCGCAGGGCTGAGGGGCGCGGAGGAGGAGCAGTAGCAGGAGGAGGAGCCGTGTGCCCTGGCACCAAGCGGCCGCGGCCATGGCGTACGCATATCTTTTTAAGTATATTATCATCGGCGACACAGGTAAGGCCCCTGGGCGGGGCAGAGCGGGTTTCGATGGCCCTCGGGCCGGGGTTCGGAAGCAAACGGCTCCTGGCGGCGGCGCGGACCCACACTTCTCCCGGCGCCTCCCTCCCGGCCGCGCGGCTCCATTTCCGCAGTGCTGGAGCTGGTGACGTGGGCACTGCGAGCGGCCGCGGCCTGGCCAGGCCCAGTCCACGGCCCCCGCCCCGGCCATCCTTGCAGGCGAGGGCCACGGCAGCCTTTTGCGACGCCAGGTCGGAAAAGTGTTGGCCGTAGGGGGCACCCAGCCCCGAAACGTCAGGGCCGAACTCAGGAGATTGCACCGCGTCCCCTGGGCACCTTATCTCGGATTTCTTTGGGGTCTCCTGTAGGGAAAAGGAGACCCGGGAGAGGCGAACGTAAGCCAGGAGCTTGAGTTCCTGACCCTTCCTACCTCTCTCACTGCTGCACACGTCCCCCATGCCCTGAGCCAGGCGCTCCAAAATATGGGGACGCCCACTGAGGAGGGGAGAAAAAAAATTCTCTTAAAAATAATGAATTTTTAATAAAAATCCTCTTAAAAATTTGTTATTTTTAACACTGTCAACTCCCATTTCAGAATAAGTCACCTCGCGTGATTTGACAGCTGGCTAATCTTTTGGGGATTATTAAAGCAGAAAAGAGGACTCTTAATACGTGTAAACTGAGGTTATTTGATTTGATAGTAACGTAGGGCCGTTCGGTGCTCGGATAGGTGTATATGTACGCTGGCGACGCTGAATTTTTTAATTGTGTTAAGTCCTGGGTCACAAGTACAGATTTTCAGATATCCTCATGTTCATTTGAAAAAGAAAAAATTAACTTATTCTAACTTAATATAACGTCCTAGTGTATTTTATAGGTAAGCAAACAAACTTGTAAAATATTTTGTTAATACCTGCAGTTTGGGCATTACATTGAGTCTAATAAACAAGGTTTGCTCAAGCGTTATAACTGTTCATATACCAGTCTGTTTTTAGTGGTGACTCTTTTGCAACTTTTGACCCCTTGCACAATTTTGGAAATGTAAGCAGCATCTTGTGGTTGCACTAATGATGTAGCAGATTCTATAAGTAATTACAGAAGTATTTTGGTTGCATCCTAAAAGAAAAACTTTCTACTACAATCTGTATTTATACAGTCTTTCAGCAAGTTTTTTTGGAGGGGTCTGAATTTAAACTGTGTGGTTTGCTCTGTAAAATCTTGAGTAAAGCAGTGTTATGCTCATGTTTAGTAACAAATTTATAAAGTTTTTTTTTAAGTGGTATATTTGGAAGAAAGTTCTAAAACCATTTAGGCTGTAAAAATTAAGATTGTAGACAGATGCCATAGTAACTATTAATATGAGTGGATTCCAGAAATAGAATGTATTGTGCAGGGAGTAGTGGGGCTACAAATACTGGTCGGTGTTCCATTCTTATGTAATTTGCCCTCATCTGAAAATAGTTCCTACACAGTTCCAAGGGATCCTTTCTTGACATTGCAGCTTTGCAGCCTAGTTCAGGCACTGAGTACCTGACCCTTAATAGACAGTGTAGAGTCAGGCACCAAATACCTGACAATAGTGTAGAGCACCACTTTCTTTCCCCGCTCCAGTTCGGCCCGTATGTATATATCACTGTCGGTTTAATCTTCCTGAAACATAGAGTGGACGTCGAGGCAACTTCTCTGCTCACTGCTATTTTTGTTTTCTTGTCTTTTTTTGTGTGGGGTACTGGGACTTGAACTCGGGGCCTTGTGCTTCCCAGGCAGGCGCTGCACCACTGAGCTACAGCCCCAGCCTTTTTTCTTGTTTTTAGTTTGACCTTTAATGAACTCCATCAACTTTTTTTTTCCTGGTGATACTAGGAATTGATTCCAGGACCTTCACACTGAGCTACATCCCTGACTTTTTGGAGGGAGATGGAAGAGAGAATCTCTGGATTACCCAGATAGGACTAAAACTTACAGTCCTCCTGCCTCAGTCTCCCTCATATAACTGAGAGTCCCTATCTACTTTTCTGGCTTTCTTTTTCACTATTCCTCACCTTGCTTCTGCCATAGAGGCCCTTTGGCTGATTTCTGGGGTTTTCCTTGGGCTCTGCTGCAGTCTCTGCTTGGAGTGCCTTCTGCCACAGTCTTCCTGTGCAAGTCTGTCAGTACTTTAGAGCCTTACCCAGGTCTTCCATAAGGCCCGCAGAGTCAGCATATGTTGAGTTCTTACTGTGCAGTATGCCAGGAGTTTCTTGATATACTGTCAGGAAGTGACTACTACTTTTCTGAGTTATGTTTCTTAGTTTGTATATAAATCTGTATATTTACACTTTTTTTTTTTTAGATTAATGGAGTACTGGGAAGTGGAACCCAGCTTTGCACTGAGCTACATCTCCAGCCTTTTTTTTTTTTCTTTTGGTATTACTTGCAGACATCCTGCCTCAGCCTCCTAGAGTGCTGGAATTACAGGTGTGTGTTACATTTCTTGAGGGCAGAACAGGTGTTGCATGTGGCTTTGTGTTTCAGAAAGAACCTAGTAAAAGATAAGCCCTATATACTAATGAATAAGGAGCCATTGGGTCACTATATTCATATCATAGTATATATTAATAACACTATGGAATTTTTTTGCTTAATTCTGCCACCTTCTTGCTTATTGATTTTGCCTGAAATCCTTTAGCATATTTTTTTTTGTATTAAATTCTTTTATTGGTACATTGTAGGTATACAACACATTTACATTTCTCATTGGGAATTGTACCTTTATATAATGCATCTTGGTTCTTATTTTTTCCCCATTCCTAGCCCTCCCTTCACGCCCTCCACCCTTCCCTAGTTACAAAGACTTTATTTCCATTTTTTCCATTTCTCATCATTTGTCCTTTCCCTTCTTTCCTTTCCCCTGCCCCTCCCACTACCCCTACCCCTTTGGACCTTTTCTTCCTATTTTACATTATCGATTATTCATTCTAATAATTGGTACATTTTAGGTATACAATATAATGACATTCATCATTGGAAATTTAGCATAGTTTCTTAATTCAGCATCTGATCATAATTTGGCCCCCTTCCCAAAAGGTCAGCAATTTGAGATCCATCTTTATTGTTTCTGAAAACTTGGAGTATGGAAAACACACATTTTTAAACAAAGGAAATCATTAATTTTCATATCGTTCACTTTTCCCAGCCTTTAAGATAGGTATTGTTAGCTTTACCTTCTCTCATTAGTGTGTTATAAAATGAGGATACATGTGAAAATGCTTTGATTAGAGAAAGGAACTGCACACATTTTTTCAGAGATCCCTCTTTGATAGGAGTGGTTTTTAACACTATGGTCATGATGATACTCTTGAACTGTCTTAGTGTAAAACTAAATGTAGTTAAAATAGAGCTTTTATTTTCTTTGATAATGTCTTGTTTCTGAAAAATCACTTAGGAAAACGTATGATTTAAGTCTAGGTAAAAAAGTAGAAAATGGATTTTAGTGAGCCTACCCTAATATTATAAGCAAGTAATTATTGAGAGAAAAAATGTTAACAAACCTGTACTTCTCCTAAAATTCTGGTATCTGCCTACCATTTTAACCTCTTCACTCACTCTCCCTGCCTCTCAGGCACACAGAGGCACAAACTGGCTTGTATCCTGACTTCTGTTTGAAATTCCCCTTCTTGCCCCCCACAAGAAAAAAGAGAAGAAGGATAATGTCAAAACTTTGTCACCTAACCAGCTTCTGTTCATTCATCCACAGCAAACCCCACCTCTCCCTGGTACGTTATACTAGTCCCTTCTCTTCATTCATTCTCTCTCCCTCTACTCTTCCTGCTCACTTGCATTTTAAACCTTTTTTGCTAGGATGGCTTCGATTATGTCATGCAGTGATTTTTAATAAGCCTGTCTTTAGGGAAGGTATTGCAAGGCTTTACTAAGGAGGTGATGCTTGAGCTGAAATTAAAATGATAAGCACAGATTTGCCATATGGACAAAGGGAATGTCTGCAGCTCAGAGAAAGTATATGTTTGTAGCTCAGGAGAATGATCTGGGTGAGAGATGTGGGAACTAAGATTAAACAGAATTTTCATTGTCTGAACTGTCAATTACAAAGTTTGTGGGAAAGCAAACAATTCCTATAATATGAAAATGTTTGTTAGTAAACTCCCACTTTAAGAAGTTAATCCCTTTTCTTTGCCATTTGTCCCCATCCTCCTGCTTTGGCATAGGGTCCTCCTGATTATAGCATGGTTCAAGTAGTTACGAAGTAAAATTATATATCATCCCCCCCCCCAAAAAAAATACATGCTCTTGTTTATTTGAGGAAAAGTATTTTGATCTTTGATTCACATACAGAACCATTGACAAAAATGGGGACCTGACAAGGTTGCCCTCCAGGAATGAAGTTAGTGGTGATTATTCATTAGTGGATATTGTCAGATGGAAAAGCTTGAATATGACAGTGGGAAATATTATCAGGAGAGAAATCTAAGAAGGAAGACAAAAAGGAAGAGAGATTTAGACAGTACAGTGTCACAAAGTCCACAAAAGAGGCAAATTCCAGAG